CTCTTGGGCCTAATTATCCCTGCAGCCCATTATTTTTCTTAGGACAAAACCACACAAAACCCAACTTCCTTTTCTGTTGATTTTGTTTCCCTCTGGTTTGACTTTCTTCTATTCTTCTTCTTCCTTCTACGAGAATCTGTGCTGCTTCTTTTTATTATCTTTTCCGTTATCTGCTTTCTCTACTTGTGAAGATTCAATCAAGGATTTCAACTACAACACTGATCTTAGTTTTTGCTCGATTTTTAGTCCTAAGGGAGTATGAATGCGCAGGCGTTGAAGAAATTCGTCGACGAGAACCAGAAATTGGCTGCAGTGTAAGAAATTTGAAAGAGAGTGCTTGCTTTATCATCAAGATTCAAGACCGTGATGCGTTGATGGAATTCGTGTGAAATGTAAACTGAAAGTGATACTTCATTAACCCAGCAACGATGGCTTTAAATAGCCTTACAGGAATCAAAGGAAACAACAGAAACAACCTAAAAACTAGGAAACAGACTTCCACTACACACTAACTCAACTCCATGACTCAACTACGTAGTCTCCAAAAGACTCGGACATGTATTGACTGCAGAAAACAGTCAATGACTTATTCAACTAAGGACAACGACCAATTCAAACTTCAACATACCCTCCCTTAAGCTAATTCCTCTGAATTCAGCTTACTTCAGACAAGTTAACCATTCCAAGCAATGCTCGTAGCTTCTCAAATTGCTCCAGCTTCAACGGTTTGGTAAAGATGTCTGCGACTTGATTTTCTGTTGCACAATACTCCAGCTTGACAGTTTCAGAATTCACCAATTCCCTAAGATAATGAAATCTTACTTCAATATGCTTGCTTTTCCCGTGAAGAACTGGATGCTTTGACAATTGAATGGTGGAGTTGTTGTCACACTTAATTACAGTCGCAGATTCTTCCTCAGCTCCAATCTTTTCCAGAATTCTTCTAATCCAAACACACTGACAAGCACAAAACGCTGCTGCTATATATTCCGCCTCAGTGGTCGCGACGACAGGCTGTTTCTTTGATGCCCAAGAAATTGCACCTGATGCCATCATAAACACACATCCCGTCGTGCTCCTGCGATCGTCCACGTCGCCGGCATAGTCACTGTCCGTGAAAGCCATAAGCCTCGGACTGTTGCTTTTATTTCTCCGATAAAAAATCCCAAGCTCAGTCGTACCTTTTAAGTATCGTAGGATCCTTTTCCCAGCAAGCCAATGCGACAT